AGGTACGTATCACGTCGCGTGCGGATATTTACATGAGCACATTAAGATTCCGATAACTGATAAGCTGGCACGATATACATGTAGCGAATATAATTTGCGTATGTCAAGCTCCAGAGTACTGCGGTACGTCAATTAATATACATATCTTTTTAGGCTCCTGCCATCACGACATCAGCAGACCTCAAAACAAAAACAAAAACCATTTAGCACTCTGGCCAAAGAAAATCTGGCTTAATGATCGAATGTCAAGGCTACTCACATATCAGTCCCCGGTTTTCAAATATTTCAGCTCCCGAACTGTTTCAAGGATTATACATAACCAGCTTTGGAGAAAACTTACTCCAAAGCCTTATTAGCTATGCCAACACCCGTCCATCTGTAACAGCTCGTGCCCGTATCAGCTGCAACATCTCCCGGATCTCGCTACCCATAGATCACGATCTCGATCTAAATTGCAAAGTTTGATTGACAGGGGTTCTTTTTTCACCGCACCTCTTTTGTTCGGTTTTTTGCACCTCGAGCAAATATGAATATGTATTTTCTGCATTGGTTTTGAGTTTGCACGTGGTAGGCGTGCCCTGGACATGTGTTGTGTGCCATCCATGGGAGCTGCACTTCCATACATTGGGTGATAAAGAGAGAGAAAGAAAGAAAAAGTACATATCTACTCACTCAGTGCTTTTTTGGGGTCCCAACTTCGATGAATCAGTTTGCTAATAGAGTGCTCTATTGGCCGTAAGTGATCGTATTCCCACTGCAGAAACCAGAATACCTATATACGCGTACGCCGTATTCTTGTACGTGGTCAAATATGGCTGTGGTCGGGTTATGGCCGAATCATGGGGGCCAAAGTATTAAACTTGGGTTTGAGCTCAAGGGCTCGGACATCATTTGCTCCCTGTGGACCCGCTAAATAATTGATGCTGGTTCCAAATCTATTCTGCATGTGCTGTTGATTTTGTGACAAGGCAAGGATTTCCTGGCTCAGACATGCAATAATCAAAAGACCACTTGTTGTTGGAGTAGAACAATTAAGCTTTGAGTAAGGCGTGATACTAACACTTACCAATGTCTCTCACTTTTATTTCAAATGCCCCCGTGAGTGGGATGACTGCGTCAAGTCTCAGGTTGCTCAGGTAACGAGTGATTCATTATGATCCAATACTACATGTATCTGACTGGGTCCCCGCTGCACCCTACTGTATGTACTCGGGGCAGGCATGAAGAACCTGAACATCGTTTTTCTGGTAGCAACCACTTTGACCCCTGCTAGCGCGTTTTTATGTTCAGATTCATCTTGCCTGCCGCGAGTACCCTACCGCGCGTAAGCCGAGCACTTTTATACAGCCTAGACAATTGCAAGGCTGTACTACACAAGGGTGTAACCTGCAGTGCATGATTTCGTTATCTATTGGTCGAAGTAAACCTAGGTACCGGTACATAACCCATCACCCAAATCATGGTTGAGGCTGATGTGCTTCTCCTCGTCAAAAGTTACCACACTGGGGCGATTTGAAGCTCCCAAGCTAGGGTGAATTTGGTGTCGGTAGCGAGTTCCGACGAAGCCGTCCAGGGAATTCTAACTTGCATATGTGAACTTCAAGTTTTCAGCGCTCCGAGAAACGTCGGTATCGGCTTCTATGCAGATATACCCGAAGAGAGTGTTGGTGGCTACAATATACGCATATATATACATACTCTCCTACGCGGTACTCCCCGCAGGCATATCATATTCTTTTCCGGCCGCCTAAAAACTGAGAATCTAGAGTCAGTCATGCAACTTTATTTGAACCGGAGGGTCATGTCCATGTCACCTCATGATCAAGATTCTTTGCCGGCTGTCATGGTGATGTACTCTACTCCATATTGATCGAGACTGTTACCCGTGATCCAAGCCCAGAAGAGGGGTCTGTCTTGAACAAATTTTCGAGCTGATTGGACCGAATTCCAATCGACTATCAACCATCTTAGGTCTTTAGGTCTCGACAAAGAATATTAAATCATTGCCTTAGAAGACAGGCTGAGAGAGGGCTTGAAGCTACCCCGCTTTTCTTCGACGCGCTACACCCGGCCTCAAATGACGGTGTGCGGGGATCAAAAACATACATAAGACTATGTACTCGTAGCTTCCGGGAAGCTGCGGGTACTCTCCTGAGTTGCTTCTGGGGCATATCACACCAACTGGCGCTAAGAGGTTGAAATAAGCAATGCCCCGGCAATAGCTGGTTGGTTATCGACGGAGAGACATTTTCCAATTCCGAGTGGCAGACGATCTTCTGAGCTTTAAGCCACACTTTGTTTAAAAGTTTTCATGCCGGTCAATGTTTTAGACAGCCACAAAGTGTTCCATATACATACCTCCTTCTAGTAGATGAGACCACCTGATACCGCGGATTTGAGGAGTCACATGCGATAGGATGAGGGGCTTCCTTACTTCCAAGTACCTACATATATGTACTCGTACACCATGGCATATGCAGCCAAGGGGGCGCTGTGAGTGATCGTTAACCCTATCCTAGATGTAGAAACGATTCATGTTTCCCGTAGACTTCAGCGGTACATAGGCGTCAATGATATAAGCCCAGCCTCACCTGTATCCAATCGTTGATATACGAGTATCCGTCCCCGACACTTGGCGCAGTGTCTTAGATTCCACTGTGCGGCTGGTGTCTCATGTACAATCACTGGTTCTCACTCGCTCGACCACAAACTGGTTTTCCCTTAGACAGGGATTTCAGGTACGCTGCAAGTTATTGCCACGTTTTGCGACCATCCCGAGGGCGCTTCTCTGGTGGGTTTCGCCGCTTGAAAAACGAGTTTGAAATCATTAGTGCGTTATATAACCCCTAGGATCGCACTCGTACTCGTAGTGAAAATCCCCGCCAAGGCTATCTTTTGTGTGGCATGCAATAGAAAACTACAAGGTGGTCTCTCATACAAATTATCCCTGGTTCTTTCCGTGGTAAACGAGTATATACAGGCGGCAATTACCGCTGAACCTCTTTGTCGGGTACTCTATACGTCACGTACGTTATACCTACCAAACCGAGCCACCGGAGAGTGCTACAAAAGATGTTTCTCTACAACTCGCTTGGATTTATTTATACTGGGCTCCTTCAGCTGCCATTTCGAGGTCTTTTGACTATACAGATGCTTATTTCATCGGTTGAGTTTATGTACAGCGCGATCTCGAAAGTCAGGGCATGGCAACCAAAACACACTAAAATTGGCCCAAACAGAATGAAAACCCACAACCCAATTGCCATTAGGAATCAACAAGGCTTTATGGAGTAAGACTTTGGGTATCCAATTTGATCTCAAAGGGCACTCTCTCAAGTCAGCTGTGGAAGAAAGTACATGAGCTAGAAGTAGAGCAACATGGAGATTCGGCTACCTCCCATACAAATATGTGGTCTTGGCGCGTTTTTGACAATTCAACACAATAAAATCAACACAGCTCATGCTAGGGGCATAATAGTTTAATTTTGAGCTGATAGGGCAAGCTTTGACATGCAAAAAATATACTTCTCTAATTCTCGGAAGTCATTCATGATAATTGGTGGTCTAGGGCTACGTTGAAAAGTAGCATTTTTGGTGTAAAATGGGTGTCATGCCCTCACTTTCCGACACTGGGTATAGAGGCCTAGACAGGAGCGACTATCGAATTTGATTAAAAGTTCCTCGCACGGCAGGACAAATTCGGTAGTACCTGGTAGAGAAGCCATGCCGTATCGCTGTGGTTCTCAATTGTTTCGCTCATGAAGAATCACCCGCACTAGAAGGTAAATGCCTTTTTTGTAGAGTTACAAAAACCTAATAAATAAGTCTGATATTCTTTTCAAAGAATTCTACAGAAGCTGGCTGTAATTCGGTGTTGTATAGATGTTCTCTCCATCGGGGTCGGTTGAAATCATCATATCTCACTCGTATGCAATATCCGTGCGCATAGGCATATACGCCGAAACCCGGGCTACTGTCCGCATTCTTATGACAGGGGCAGAAACAGGGTAGTTTAGTCCCTTCACAAGTCGCCATAATCTGCTGCGTCATTTCACCAGATCCAGGCCCTGGCGGAGAAGCCGTTACCGATTCATGATTGGTAATCCACCCCCCTCCAAAACGTACGTCACTGTCAAGGAGCTTCTCAAACAAATACCCCCCGTCGGGCCCCCGATATACCAGCTCTCGAACTGGTGAATACATACAGAACTTTTATCAGGCCACTCCAGCGTAGCTTCGCCCCCTCCTCAAAACACACTTTTCAACATGTCACTTCAATCCCGCAATATCCACGCAACGCGTACCCTCCCCCTTGCATCGATTCTCCGGCCTATACCCCCGGTGCTCGACGACAGCAAAATAGACAGCATGGTCTGTACCCTTCAGAAATATCCTCCTGCAGGTACGGAATTTGAACCGGGAACACTGCCACCCGTGGATATTCTGCACTACCAGTCTCCCGCCGGGAAGGACTTCTATTTTGCGTTTGGCGGATGTCATAGGCTGCAGGCATATGGACGCGCGCAGGTGGAGGACGTCAATTGCAAGGTGCTGAAGGTTACAAAGAGCATGTTGAAGGTGTATCTGGGCGGGAGTGTTGACGCCATTGTCGGCAAATAATTCATGCAGGCCAATCGGGGGGTCTATGAGCAAAGGGCAGGGAGCGGAGCGGGTTTCGATGAGGATTCCGGGGCGAGGGTGATTTCTTATGATCGTGCTAATGCCCAGAAAGAGTTTTGGTTTCGGCGCGGCTAGATGATTGGGCAATTATTTCAGCGGGTGATCTACTCTACTATAATTTCGGTAGATCACAAATCAAGGCCGGGGCCCCTTGAAGAGACAGGGGACTATAATGGGGAGTGCATCTGGGTAAATTGAATAAACGATATTCAGAAAATATTAGTTGATTACTAAATTAAATTCTAACTACGAGACTACGATTGGACGGTTTGTAATTAAATTCATACGCGTAAATAAACTTGGTTGCAGTATGTACTCAAGATTCAGTGGTGTAGTGGTATCACGGGCGCTTGCCATCTTACGATGATTTGCGCCCGACCCGGGTTCGATTCCCGGCTGATTCATCCTTTTTTCTTTTCATGCAATATATTGTTACCGAATGTTGTGTTTTGAAACCTGTCTCCTTGTTAAGCACATGTAGTTACGACAGCCAGGAATGGCCCTGTGATAAAAGTGGTGGCGAGGGGCCACCTTGTTAAACTTGAATCCCTTCGTCCCACCCTCTCTTCGCTCTACAACACCATCTGTCTACAAGGTCTACATACTCCTGCGATAAGGTCCAAGCTACATGTAGTATTCGGCCATCTGACTTCATAAGGCCTGGCTATCGGAACGACCAGATTGCAATTGAGCTAGCTATAAGCATGGACACAAATTTCACAGGGTAATTTTTGAATAGTAAAGTCAGGTTCATGGTCACCCATGAGCGGCTTGATCCTTTTCTGGGTCTCCACTTAACTAAGCTGGCTTGAGCTGCAGCTCCGTAATTTCTTGCCGAGCCCAAGGAGCTGCGACGAGGAAGAGATCTAGGTTACCAAAAAAAAAACCTCTTTGACCCTTTCATTGTTTTACTTTATTGGCACTTGGCAGAAGGAGATTGATCTTGTTGTTTTAATCATTGGTTACCGCCGGCCGGCTCGAGCTGAGCTGTTTTGTCGGCATTCAACAACAAAGCCCGGGCCCGATGAGCTTCCACCCTACAAAGAGTTGTGTCAGCTCGATCTTATATAGACCGCAAGTGGAACTAGCAGAAGGCCTGATGTAATCCATGGCGATATTCATTCTCCATCGATCATTTATATTCCAGGGGTCGATCGGGCCGGGGATATATATATATATATAACCAATCCAGCCATGGAGTCTCAGTAGTAAATCGCATCTGGCGTTACTATTGGGAGTTTGTCCTTGTGTCAGATAACAACTTGCCCAAGCTGATCTGCTTGCGATTGGCCAAAGATAAGACACATACTCTATTATTGAATATGTCACTATTGGGACCGGGGTTGTGTTTAAATTTCTGATCGAGATTGGTTTTAGCAACGCAGCACAAACCATTGCTGATTGCAATTGGGGTGGGCTCTCTCATCCATAAATAATGCCGGCCTTGGAATAGCATCATTAACTTGCATATGTTCATTAGAATGACAATCACTTGAGAACCACAGGTGAGGATATCACAGTTTCAATAAACGGAAAGTCCAGCTCTTGCTAATTCATTTTGAGTTAAACAACCAAAAACCTCCAGCTACATTACTACAGATCCAGCTGCCCAACAACCAACCAATTATAAGCTACTTTTTTTTCTCTAGGCTCCCACCCTACGAGTAGAGCTCCCCGCTCAGCGCCTTTTTCCCGACATCAAATACACACTCAGGCCCCAGAAACGATGCCTCTTTCCCTCCGTAAAACAGAACCCTTCCTCCCCTCCCTCCACCCCTCTCCAAGCCCTTCACCTCGCCCCTCAACACCCTCCCCAGCAACTCCTTCATTCCCTCCACCACCGCCACCGCATCCACCCTCACCACGCCCCCGGAAATCACGGCCGCACGCTCATCTGCCTCGTCGCGCAAAAAGTCCAACACCCGCTCAAGGCTCTGCCAGTACTCGCTCACCTCCGACTGCAGGCCAAACACAACAGCGCCCACAAGCTCCTCGGCAAACAGCACGGCCTCCCCTGCATCATACACGCACAGCGACTCTGGCGCAACCCCGGGCGTCAGCAGCGCCATCAGCGGCGTCTCGCACAGCGACACGTGCGGGAACGTGCCCGTGTCCTCGAGGTGCTCCACGGGCAGTGGCGGGTACGGCGGGGCCGCGTTTGAGGAGGCGAGTATCATGGAGGGCATGAGCTCTGCGCTAGCCGCAGTGTGCGGGAGACGCAGAAGGGTGAGGATGTACTCGTGGGCGCCATGGGGGTTGAGCGGGCGGTTTCCATTTACGGAGACGGGGGCGGTCTCGAGATGGGTTGCAATGGCGGGGTGTGGGTGGCCGGCGTGGAGCAGGAGGTGGGGCCCAGAGAAGCGTTTGAGATAGGTTGGGGGGTGGGTGGATGTAGTGATGGCAAACGTTGTGGGGTTCAGACGGGTTGTGGTGAATGTGGGGAACGTCATTGCTGATGATATCGATAGGAATTGTAGATGGGGGAGATGTCTAGGAGCGCGCAGGGAGAAATCATGAGGCAAGGGAGGGAGAGAGGGAAGGGATATATACACATACTTGCCGGTGAAGACAGACTGGCGAGCTTGTATGTATGTACCTTTGCGTGTCGAGCTGGGAATGCCCTTGGGGCTGGGATGGCGTCGCTGGTGGTACAGAGACAGTGGACGGTGGGCGGGATTGGCCAGCAAAGTGCAATTGCAATAATCCGTCTGCTGTTGGCCCTATTTTTGGCGCAGAGAGAGGGCAGGCATCATTGGTTTGAGGATTTATTAAGACGGGGAGCGCCTCTGCCTCCCCCTGCCGAGTGATAGCGAATGATTGGCGAGACAGCATCGTATTCACCATCAGAAGTCGTAGATCCTACTAAATAAAAGAGAAAGAGACCGTGAAAAGGGGCAAAAAAGCAAATCCGGGGGGGGGTGTAGTGTAGCTATCAATCATCATCAATTCGTATTCCGCGACTCTGTACCAGATGTCGGTCGGTGGAGGTGGTTGACGGGGATCGAGACGTGGGCGATCTTTTTATAGTGTGTTGTACATACACAACACTTCACACGTATGATGATGCCCTGCGCATGTTGCTGCTGCTGGCTGTCCGAGGTTCTAGAAAGCCGTGGAAGCAGGGGAAAGAAAGAAAAAAGCAAAGATCTAGGTTTTGGTTCTAGATGTGGATGCGGATGCACGATCACGATAAGGGGCGGGGGGGGGGGGGGCGTGTTTGAATTCTACAGCTTGTGGTAACATTATTGTAGAAACATAAACATGGGGGGCGGGACCTTATTGGCTTGACCAGCCATACAAACCCTGTTTTTAGACCCCTGTTTCTACAATAACTTTACCTCTCGCTGTACCGATATCGATGATGGGGGTCCATATACTCTCTACAAGCCCCATGCATGCTACATACTCGCGACTAGTAACAAGTACTCTACCCGAAAATGCTGCAGCACTGGATTGGGTGTATTTTTCTCGCTCTTGCTCCAATTGATCCAACCAGAACGGCTTCTCGACACTTGCACAGCATATCCGGGCACCACTTACCTGTCGCGAGTCTGTACCTACATACAGCTATGTACCGACACCACCCCGCCAAGGCTCGTTTCTTGTACATAGCCAATGTTTCTTGCAGCAAGTATGTACCTACATAGCCATTTTGGTGCAGAGCAGCTCTGTTGGCGGTGTACCCTATCCCTATCCCTATGCGCTGTTTCTTGCAGCAAGGGCTTCTTGTAGCGGGGGGGGGTGTAGTGTAGGTACAATTATACTCAGACGAGACCCCATGCATGCATGCTGCAATCGATTAGAGTACACTACCGCAAGATCTCAGCAATAACGAATCGAATCGAACTGGACTGGACTGGAACCTTGGGCTTCGGATTGGTCGAGTACTTGTTGAGCCTCAATCCGACAGACCCAAAGCGTAACTTTTTGGTCGTCTTGACCTGGTCCAATGGGTAAGTGGTATTCCGGCCCAGTCAGATTCGTTATTCCGGAGATTCTGCGGTACCCAAACGAAACACCCCCCCCCCCCACCCACCTCAGAAGCTAAAAAAAGAAGAAGAAAAAAAAAAGAGAGAGAGATGCAAGAAGTAAAGACAAAAACAAAACCCAAACTCCCCCCCCCCCAGTAAGCTACACCGGCACCCCCCCCGCCCCCCGCCCCCCGCCCCTCCCAAACTGCCCCTCCTCTAGTAAGCCACACCGGCACCCACCCACCCGTAAGCTACACCGGCCCCTTACCCCTCCCCTCCTTGAGCGCCATCTCCCCCCGCTCCTCGACACGCCCCAGAAAGGCCTGCCGCTCCAGATACGCCTTGTCGCCCATCTTGTGCCTGCGCAGCTCCTCGCCAATGCCCTCCTTGTCCACAAAGCCCGCCCAGTCCAGCCGCGACTTTTCAAGCGTGTTTATCTTTTGCGCGGGCAGGGCCGGGGGCCTGCGCGCGGCGGCGGCAGAGTCGAACGCCGAGACACGCTTCTTGGGCGCTGCGCGGCGCGGCTTGTTGCTGCTGCTGGGGGTGGTGGTGGTGGGGGGGGGGAGGGAGGCGAGGTAGACGCGTGCTTCGTGAGAGTCCCGGGGGACGACCTTGTGCTCGGTGTGCTGCTGCCCGGCAAAGGTGTAGGTGCGCGAGATTGTGATGGCCTCTTGCTCGTGGAACATGCCCGCGGGCCCGTTCTGGTGCTTTCCGTCTGGCGCTGGGACTGTCGCTGCTGGCTGCTGCTTCTCCGCTGCCGCTGCCGCTGCCGCTGCCGCAGGGGTGGGCGTGGGGGCGGGGGCTGGGGCTGGGGCTGGCGAGTTCATCGCCGCCCACAGCGCATCCACGTCGGTGGCGCTCTGTGCCTGTGCCTGTGCCAGCACGGCGCTGCGGGGCCCGTCTTTGTCGTCGTGGTCGCCGTGGAGGCGGCGGTGCGCGCGGGTCTTGATCTTGCGCGCGGGGGCGGGGGCGGGGTCGGGGTCGGGGTCGTCGAGCTGGCGCTTCCTTGTGCTCTGTTTCTGCTTGCTCTGCTGCTTCTTGGGCGTGGGCTTGGCGTCCGAGTCGGAGTCGGAGTCGGGGTCTGAGTTCTCGGAGACGGCGGCGGCAGTGGTGGGGTCAAAGTCCTCGTCCTCGGAGGAGCGGTAGTCGTCGTCGTCGTGGTCGTTGTGGGGGTGGGCGTCGGAGGTCATTGTTGTGGGTGGGTGGGGGAGAGGGAGAGGGAGTGGGTGAGTGAGAGGGAGTGTGAGTGAGTGTGAGAGGGTGAGTGAGTGAGCAGCAGTGTGAGTGAGTGGCAGTGCGAGGCAGTGTGAGTGTGAGTGTGGCGTAATGTAGTGTGGTGCGGGAGAGGAGGGTGCGAGGGAGCGAGAGCGTGTGTGTGAGAGCGTGTGTGCGAGAGAGAGAGCGTGAGAGAGAGCGTGAGAGAGAGAGCGTGT